AATATTCTTATGCCTTTCCACCATGGTTTTTCTATACATATCCCCAGAGCCCAACAGTTAAGGCCTACCCACTCTGAGAAGCGAGCTTACCGGTCCGGAGTTCGCTATGCAATGTGGCTAATTTCACGCGTCAAGTCCAGTGGTGAAGATTGTCTGCGATTACCATAAATGATTTGGTCCAGTTATGGTAGACGTGCAACTGTCGCTTATTCACATGCGCTTCTATTGACTTGCGTAAGGCTTGCATAACGTATAGCAGTCGGGAAATATTCATTCCGTCTCACTCGCCCGCACGGACCCGAAGCGCGTCGTACCGCATCGATGGATAACAAGCCAAGCCCCGCTTGCTGGGGACTTGGGAACTCTTATTCGGAGCTTGCACTTAGCACCCGGACGGAATCCTCAGCAGGCGGCACTCAGCGAAAGATATACACCTAGCCTCTTGTCAAGATCCCTAGTCCACTCGGCGTCCTGCTGACAGATCGCTTAAGATACCCGACCCCAGCCGGCGCTTGCTCCGTTTGGCCAGTGAGTTGATTTCGTTGTTTGGATTGGAGCCTTTGGACCAGTCGTGACCATTTCAGGGCTGGAGACGAATGAGAGTGGATAACCGTGGGGCAGAACTGTGCGCACCTCGGGTCCATCTGCAGAGAGGCCGCACAGGGGCTCCTCCTCTGAGTATGTGCTCAGCACTCGAACGAGGCCCCCTCCAGGCGGTACCCGGCCCACCCACGGACGGTGCGTGTAGGTTGTCCCGGATGAACGGGGTGTCGCGAGATGCAGGATGGAGCAAGAATAAGCAGGGCGGACGGTGAGCTGGTTGGGGCGGCAGCCGCGCATCGCACGTCCTGTAGACGTCGTGTCTGTGTAGACGTCCTGTAGACGTCGTGTGTGCTGACCAAGTGGAGATGGAGCAAGAATAAGGATAGCAGGGCGGACGGTGAGCTGGTTGGGGCGGCAGCCGCGCATCGCACGTCCTGTAGACGTCGTGTCTAGTTTTCAGAAGTGAAAGCGTGATGTCAACCAATGACCGGGCTGTAGTTAGGAGGAAACGGACCCACAGAATCCCGTTATCTGCTCCCCAAATCATTGTTCACGGCAGAGGCCTATTAATGAGTGGTGATATTACCATGCATGAGACGCCCCTAACTTATTATAATCATTATGCATGTGCAGGGACTGATATCAACTAGCCTGACTGTAAGTAAGACCTAGTGCGATTAAGAGTCTGAAGTGGCATGCGGCTGCACCCTGGCACAAACTCATGGGCGTGTGGAGCCGTTGCACTTGCCTCGAGAGTGCTGACCAAGTGTTCTCGCCTTTCGAGTCACGCTTGCATGCTCACTCGGAAACCACGGGGAATACCGTCCATTGGTGAGAGCTCATCACCACAAGAAACTGATGTCTATGTTGCAATGATGGTGAATTCCAGGTCAGCTATGAACAGCGCTCCATCTGGTTTAACGTAGACACGTTTGAAGGATCGGGCCTGCCGAAAATTTGTTTTGAGTAAGGTGGATAGACTTTCGCACCATACGGGTAGGGCATCAGTGTGGCGTAATCCATTGCCTGACCACTAATATATATATATATATATATATATATATATATATATATATATATATATATATATATATATATATATATATATATATATAATATATATATATGTCATTAAGAGTTTTCCGTTTACGCTGTGATGCCTTAGTAATTTTTTTCGGCAAGCTAGTATTAGGTATTAGTTTTATTATTTTTGCCTGAACGTGGCCCATTGGAAGACGGGCACCATGTCGCACTTCAGTCATGTCATCGTTTTAGTCCATAGCTT